GTTAAAGAACTGGGCAGACATCTAATATTTCTTTTGCTTGTTCAGCTGTGTAACCTAATATTTGCATACATCATAGTTTGTTTTATTATGTAATTAATGAACTAGTGATATGTTACAGTGAGTTCACCCTTCTATTTATACTATCTGGAAGGTGTGGATTAAGTTTTTCTTTGAGGGAATAATTGACCATGTGGACCAGCTTGTAAAACTGACAGCTGAAACATCTAAGTTTGTGTAAATGATAAAATGAAAAATTAAAAGAATGAGTTAAAGTTAATCACTAAGTACATACATAAAGGCAGAATGCATAATTCCTTTTTTTAAGAATTTATTTATTTATTTAAAAGTCAGAGTTAACAGAGAGAGAGGGAGAAACAGAGAGAGAGAACTTCCCTCTGCTGGTGCGCTCCCTAGAAGGCTACCATGGGCAGGGCTGGGTCTGGCTGAAGCCAGGGGACAGGAGCTTCATCCAGGACTCCCGCGTGGGTGGCAGGGGCCCAAGCATTTGCGCCATCTTCCACTTCTTTTCCCAGGTCATTAGCAAGGTCATTAGCAAGGAGCTGGATTGCAAGCAGAGCATCCAGATTGCAAGTAGAGCAGCCAGGACAGAACCAGGGCCGCTATGGAATGGCAGTGTTACCGGCGGCAGCTTTACCAGCTACACCACAATGCCAGCCCCTGAGTGTGTAACTCTTAAAATAGAATGTGGGAGATACTGAATTTTAAAAATCAATCCATAATAAGGCAGGCAGAGAGAAAGAAGATAGAGAAGAATAAAACAGTACAAAATTAGGCCAATAGCAGCAAGTCCCAGCACATTAATAATCACAAAATGTAAATAGATGGAACTTTCTTATTTGAAGACAGAAATTGTTTGGATAAAAAATTAAGCCCAGCAATGTAATATTTAAGAAAAAAATACCTTAAATTATAGATATGAAGCATTAAAAGTAAGCAGGTGACAAAGACATGACAGGCAAGTGCTTAACAAAAGAAAGCTGAGTTTCTTACATTAATGTGAAAGAAATGAACTTTAGCCCAGAAGTTTCTATTAATGATAAAGAGGGTCACAATGTAAGAATTGAAGATTTCAATGACCAGAACCATGTAATGGTACTATACGGGGAGACATTCAATTATCCAGTCTTCCAGTACAGATAGCAAAAACTGATGGACTTTCAAGGGAAGCCTGAGGAAGATCTGCTTCCACATGGGAGACTGAGAACAGCACAGTCATTCTAACAATCTGATAAGGTGCACTTCTGGCTTCAGATAAAACTGCCAATTAAGATATCTGTCATCCATGGATTCCCCGAAGTGTCATATCTCAAGCAAATTCTAAGTTGCGCTTAGAAAAAGTTATGTTGGGGGGTAGACATTGTGGCACTGTGGGTTATGCCACTGCTTCCCATTTCAGAGTGTCGGAGATCAAGTCCTGCCTCAGCTCCAGATCCAGCTTCCTGCTGGTGCACACCCTGGGAAGCAGCAGGTGATGATGGCTCAAGGAGTTGAGTCGTCCCCACCCGTGTGTGAGACCCAGCATGAGTCCCCGGCTGTTGTGGGCATGTGGGGAGTAAACCCACAGGTGCAAGATGTTGCTGGTGTCCTTCTTTCTGTCTCTCTCTCGCGCTCTGACTTTCAAATCAAACAAAGAAGTGCTTCTAGCAATGACAAAACTCACATTGAAAGTGCATTTGTCGAGTGGGAATAAAATTAGTATTTGAAATGCAAATGAGGGAATAGAAAAATTTCTAGACTAAAAATTTTATATAAAAATTTCATATATTGTCTAAAAACTGAATATCACAAATACAAACTTGATTCTTTCATTGACATTATTAAATAAAAATTAATTGATTGGAGAAGAATTAGACTGTCTCAGTTTGTTGAGTTCCTTATTTTAGATATATATCTTTTTAAATAGAAGCGACAAAAAATGTAGAGGAACAAAACAGACATCCTGTGATTTGGTTTTTGTTTTAGCCTTTGTCCATATTCCTGTGGAAGTGTGGTCTGTGTACTTTTTACTTGCTGAATATTATGGTTACTGGTGCATTAAGCCTGTGATTATAGAGTGGACTGAAATTATGTTTTTGTAAAAATTAATGAAAAGAAGGAAAGAGGAGGGTTGAGGGAGGGAAAGAAGGAGGGAGAGAAAAACGGTCATCTTTTTAGAATTGAACCTATGAAATATATTAAATCTGTCCTGTTTATATTAATAAAAATTTTTAAATATGTTATTACAAAACAAAGGTGCAATTATAAACACATGTAATTCTTCACAGTAGTGAAGCCGTGCTTCAGGGACTGCTGGAGGGAGTGGGAGTTGTTGGAGTTGTGTAAGGTGGTTCATCACTCTTGTTCTATGGTAGAGAAAACTGAGATCAAAAATAGTGTGTTTCTGGGGTCAGTAGTGGGCTGAGCCTCCGCCCGTGGCGCCAGCATCCCATATGGGCACTGGTTCGTGTGCTGGCTGCTCCTCTTTGCTGTCCAGCTCCCTGCTGTGGCCTGGGAAAGCAGTAGAAGATGGCCCAAGTCCTTGGGCCCCTGCACCCACGTGGAGACCCAGAAGAATCTCCTGACTCCTGGCTTCTGATAGGCCCTGCTCTGGCCACTGTAGCCATTTGGGGAGTGAACCAGTGGATGGAAGACCTTTCTCTCTGTCTCTCCCTCTCTCTGTAACTCTACGTTTGAAATAAATAAATAAAATCTTTTAAAAAAATTTAGTGTGTTTTGGGGGTTGGCATTTGGCACGGCAGTTAAGATACCAGTTGGGACAGCACATTGCCATAACAGAGTGCCTGGATTAGAATCCTGGGTCCATTTCTGATTCCAACTTCCTGCTAATGTGCACCCTGGGAAGCAGGTGATGCCACCCGTGTGGGAGACCTGGATTGAGCTCCTGGCTCCTGGGCATTTGGGGAGCAGACAAGCACATGAGAGCATGCGAGTTTTTCTTCCCCTCTTTCCCCCTCCTCCCAACACCTACCTACCTCTGTCTCTCTCTCTCTCTCTCTCTCTCTCTCTTTGAATCTGCCTTTCACATGAAATAAACAAATGTTTAAAAACAAAAATAAGAAAGAAAAATACTATGTCTTGCTTTGTATTTCATGTGTTTTATACTTTACAGTTACATAGATTTAAGTACATATATCCACCTATGTATATCTTCTTGTACATGCAACGTTAACAGCATATGTTTCTGGTGGTTAACGTTAGTCCTTTTTCCCTGTATTGGAGTGCCTGGGTTTGAGTCCCGGCTGCACTTCAGTCCCAGCTTCCTGCTAATGTGCATCCTGGTGATGATGCTTCAAGGAAAGGAGTTGGGTCCCGGCCACCCATGTTGGAGACCCAGAGTGAGACCTGGGCTCCTGGCTTCAGCATCTGGGAGTGATCCAGCAGATGAAAGATAGCTACCCAACCCGCCTCATTCCCTTTCGAATAAAATGAAAGTAAATATTTTTAACAATAGAATAATCTGGATGGTCCTGTGCGTTCTTAAAGGGGACATGGATGGTGGTAAAACAGACTCTAGAATGTTTAGAATGCCTCCTTTTCATGTGGACAGATTCCTCTTTGCCAGGCGGAGATGTTTAGAACTGATTTATAGGAGGCAGGCTTGCTGAGGCGAACCCCTTTGTGAGAACTTTGATATGAAGATTGGGAGAGCAAGTCGCTGCGGTTGGGTCATTGGAGTAAAGTTCTCCTTCACTTTCCTCCCTCTCTCTGACTCCACCCAAGTTCATTATCACCTTTCCTTCCTCTGCGTCTGATCCCTCCTCTGGAAAATAACAATTTCAAGTCAATGCTAAAGAGCTGCTTGGGGAGAATGTTGTTGGTCCTTGAGGAAAGATGCCTTTCAGCTGATTGTGTGTTTAGTAACTTCAAGGCTTTAAAAAAAATACCCACAGCAGATGCAGCTTTCCCTCAGCCCCTGCGGCTGCCTCTGGGTCACTGCACATGTCCCACTGCCTTGCAGCAACTCAGGAATCCCCTCAGAGAGCTGGACAGCCAGCTGGGCGATGTCCTTCACAGAGCGGATGGCCAGCTGAATGCTCCATGGCCACCCCTGCCTCACTGTCCCTTAGATTTCCCCTCTGTTAAATGGGCAGAGTTCACCAGCCTTGTCAGACTGCAATTCAGATGAGGGGGTGAAAAGGGCCTAGGACTGTGCCTGACACCAGTGCAGCCATCCATTAATGGCCCCCGTAATTAGGAACACTTTCATGATTAGCTTGGTCATGTTGATTATCCATGTTGGATTGCTCTGAGAGGAGGAAGATTCTATGAGAAGCAAGGCTTGGCTGGGCTGAGTGAAGCTGTCACCACATGAAAGACTACTTCTGGGCTTATCTAGAGATGCCTACTTTCCATCTACTGTTGTTTTAAAGGTCATCTTGAATTGATTCAGCTCCCCATCTTTTAAGCAAACCCTCCAGGTTAACCTGTATGTTCATGTAATGATTGTTGATATTTGACAGGGTGCTTTTTTTCTATAATTTTATATTTAGTGCCAGAAAATATAAATCCTTAGAGGAAAAGTAACTTTAGTAGAATTTAATTGGAGTGTCATTTTAATTCTCCTAGTTATTCGAAATTAACTTTTTCTAAAAGTGTCCAGATGTGAATGCAGTACATAGATTCTTTCAATAATTATTGCAGCTATTCAATAAATTGTCTTCTTCAGTTTTCTACCTTTGGACTGACTTTTATCCATTCTGAATGTATCAATCCTTTGTTTATAGCAGAAATATTTTAAATCAAGGATACTGTGATATCTAGAGTAATAGTCAGTTTGCAGTAGCATATGCCCTAAGAACCTTCTGTTTATTCTCAGCAGATAATTTGTTTGCCTAGCCAGGAATAAATTGAACTCCAGAAAAATGCGATAAGCCTTATGTCTCATTTGGTCCATGTTCTTGTTTGGTCTTATTTCTTTCTTTCTCTCTCTCTCTCTCTCTCTCTCTCTCTCTCTCTTTTCCTTTTGTTTATATCTTTAGGCTCAGCTACGTGAATCATGCAGAGGATCTGGCCTCCAAACTCCTACAGTGTTCCCCAAAGAACAGGCTATCCGCACAAGCCGCCTTGAGCCACGAATATTTCAGTGACCTGCCCCCGCGGCTATGGGAACTGACCGATAGTGAGTATCACAAATCTGCAATGTCCCATCAAAGCACTTTAGCATCTGTATGTAGCATGCACGTAGAGAGACTGACATATTTATTTAAGCACAAGCATAAGGGTGTGATGGGGGGGTGTAACGTGGGGGAGAAATAGAAGGGGAGAGAGAGAATGGGGGAGGGGTGTCCTGTGTATATATATTTAGTAGAATCCTGCCATTCAATTGCTAGCTTACCAGATACAAGAAGAAAATGGATTCCTTTTTTTTTGCTATCTCTGCTCTGCAGTCTGCAGCTGTGCATCTTTGTATTTGATTATGTGTGCGTCCACAAAAACGATCTGAGCAGTCATAAAGGAAAGGGAAAATATGATTTACATATTTAGTACTTTATGCATACAGTACTTTTAAACTGGCTGCAGTACACAGAGGAGAAATGATTCATTTCTGTTTGATTCTCAGAGACCATCTTGGTTGTAACAATAACCTTAAAAAGCGCTGCTCTGCAGTGAGCTGAGGCACAGTGTTGGCAATTGGTTAATGCACTGAATTGACATGTAAGGACTGAAGACATGTAATTCATTTTAACTACAAATGTTCTTGGTATTCGTACAGACAGTTCTTCTCTGGATCTTTTAAAACAAAACACATTCCTGGGTGGGTTTTTGTTTTGTTTTTACAAAACTGTTCATATTTACACAGCCTTTTTCAATTACATTTTAAATATTTGGGGAAGGATTTATGACGGGAGGATCTCAGCTTTCTTCCAAAGTGTGAAACAGAATTCTTGTGAAATTTTGCAAAACGCTATTGCAGTAGGAATATTTTTGTTCAGTGATGATATGTTCTTTCTAAACGCCAATTGGAAATACTTCTCATTCTGTTTCCTGATTCTTTAAAAATTAACATTATATATATATGCATAAATATTTGTTTTTTAATCCTTGGGTATACATCACTTATAGTAGACATAAAGTTATTTGGTTAGTCTCTTGGATTTAGACTTATCTCCCCCACCCCCAGTATTAGAATTTTCCTTAATAATGGATGACAATTACTTTTGGCTATTCCTATACTCTAAATTGGTTTTGTTTTTCTGTTTGTTTTTGTTTTTGGTGTCTGTCATTTGTTTCCAGTTGCTTTCTTTACCCTCATGTGACCACAGATATATCAGTCTACAACTCCCCTCATGCTCAGCAAATCCTCCCTAACATTTCGTAGTCCCAGCCCACATCTACACTATGTTCTTCCTTCCTTTCTAAAAGTTTATCATCATAACGATAACCACTATAATCACAATCCCCAGTTTTTAAAAACAACTAAAGATGAAATCCCTATGGAAAAGTAAGGAATGGACGACACATTTTCCTATTCTGGAGAAAGACAAAATGCTACAAATAGGCTTGCAGGTTTCCAGCGGCTCACACACAAACACCTGGTTTGTTTCCCCATGCAGGGTACCTTGTAACCTGCTATCAAGGCTCCTTGCTGACATCTCAATCCCTTCCAACTCCATGATTGAGTTTAAGCCAGGATGGTGATGGTCTGTGAATTCTGAATTCTGTCGTAGCACTTTTCTGTTAATATGGACTTATTACCCACTTGCCACTTAGTTTATCAGCCAGTGGTTAAATCCAGTTTCTATCAGTGAGTAAATGCCTACACATTATCACTGGGTAGCAGGCTGCCAACGGAGACAGCCTTGTCCCCGTCATTAACGAGCACAATGTATGCAGAACACCAGAGGGGAATTAAAACCACAAAAAATACCTCAGGGTGGTATTTTTAATATGAGAATTTAATTTGTAATTTCACAGATTAAGAATTTTGGCTGCATTAATCCCTTTATCAGCTCACAGCAGGCTATTTGCAGAAGCATAACCATAAGGCGATATTCATTGGCAGAAACACGTCTTTGCATAACGTTAAACATCAGGAGCGGTGAAACCTTTTGAAGGGGGGAGAATAAAGATGAAAAATCATTATATTTTTAAAGCAAGACTCTACTAAATGCCTCCGGTAACAATTTTGAGTTACAGAAATGCTATTTCTGTGTCTAGAAGATAATCATTATGAAGCACAAATCCAGTCGCAAGAAAGGACAACCCCGGTATTAAATACTAGAGCACTTCCATTTAGAACAAGGCAGCTGCACTTGTAAACATGTTTACAAAACAAAGAATTCCCAGAGTTTGGAGACTTTGGGAATTAGCTCCTTTAAGTGAAATGCCTGGCTTTGGTGACTCCGTTGTCTAGGCTAATATTCGGCAGACTATATTTAGAAATTGCTGAAATTCTTCAAATTAGGTTTCAAGTAGCGCAGAGTCTTGTCTAAGTACAGCATCTGCGGAGGCGGCAGCCGGGAACCCTCACGTGCTTCCCTCCCAGGGAGGTTTGGAAGGGGGCTCCGCCCGGAGGAAGTGCTGCAGGACTAATGGATGCATTGTCTGGGCAACCAGGGTGTGGTCTCCACTCATCAGTCTCTGGAAAGTCTCCCCATTCGTCTGCTCAGACCACTGCAGCAAAATGCCATAGGCTGAGTGGCACGAACAATGCACGTTTGTTCTTCAGTTCTAGGGAGTCAGGAATCCAAGATATTGGCAAGTGCTGCGCCAGCTGACAACCAGCTTCTTGGTCCACCTTACTGGGTGCAGAGGGAGCAATCTCGCTGTTCTTCCTCATACAGAGCCCCTAATCCCAGCATGAGGGCCCAGTGCACATGACCTCCTGTTGTCCAGTCACCTCCCAAGGGCTCCATCACAGCAATGCCATCACAGCAGGGTTAGGCGTCAACATAGGAGTGTGGGAGTGGACTCAGTTCAGTCCACAGCACTGTCACCCTCATTTAAAAAAATTAGTTTTTAATTTCACATAAAAATTGTACATGCCGAGGCCAGCGTTGGCATAGTGGGCTAAAGCCTCTGCCTACTATGCTGGCATCCCATGTCAGATTAGCTCCCTGAAAATGTGCCTGGAGCAGCAGAACAGATGGCCCAAGTGCTTGGGCCCCTGCACCCACGTGGGCGATCTGGAAGAAGCTCCTGGTTCCTAGATTTGGCCTGGCCCAGCTCCACTGGTTGCGGCCCTTTGGGGAGTGAACCAGAGGATGGAAGACCTCTCTTTCTCTCTCTCTCTCTGCCTTTCAAATAAATAAAATCTTTTTAAAAACAACACTTGTTTGTCAAATCAGGGGAAACATATCTGCCTCCTCACTTTTTAAACAATGTCCAGGAAAGCAGAAAGTGAAACCATCCAGGAGAAGACTGGATACAGAAATGAGTTAGAAATGGACAGAGACAGACAGAACGAGGGAGGCACTACTGTGGGCCAACCCAGAGCAGTATTTAAACAGGTTTCCCAATGGTGATATTTGACTTGTGAGTTTAGAACCAGGAGGCAAAAGTTTCAGTGGCACAGGCACTGGCTTCCCAGGGAGCAGATAAAGTGGATGGACTGCACCAAGGAGCTAGCGGGGCGGGGGTGTCCAACTGGGACCTGTTGAGACCTGCTTCTGATATGAGAAAGTCCAGCTTCCACTCAGAATGGATGCCGAGGCAACATAAAGCTGTAAGCCTGCCCTCCTGTTCCATAACACCAAAATGTCAAAGTGACGTGTGAGTGTAGTGTGCTTGGAAGCAGGAATTATAATGCAGTAGGAAGAATAACAGTGCAGGTATCTGGGGGTCCGTCAACTAAAGCTGGCTGGTTCTGGTGGCACCCCCTCATTCGCCCTGTGTCCCGAAACCCCAACAGCCATGACCCACTTCTTCACAAAGATTTAATTGCAAGGAAGTAAACGGAGGCTGATTTAGAAGAAATTCATTACTTTTCCCAAATCCACCACAGGGCATTCTCCTGTGTATACTATCAAGTTGCATAAATAATTGAGGCTGAAGTACCCTTGTCAAAGTAAATGAACAAAATACACTTCATAGCACAGAGTCCTTGATTTTATTGCATTCATTTGCTAATTCACAAAACTCAAACCCAGTAAAAGAAGGCCAACAAATCGGTACCATGCAAAGAGCACTGAAGTGGGTGTTGACCACCTGGGTTTCTGCCTCAGGTTCGCCGTGACGAGCCAGGCACCCTGCACGAGTGCCTCAGTGTCTCTGTGGTTCTATTTCCCAGTTAGAGAACAAGAGGGATGGACAGCTCTCATGATTTGGGGGCTTCCTACACATTCTTGTATCAGGGTATTCAAAATATTCATGGAATTATGTATTCTGAATATGTTATGCATGGATTTCAAAATTTTTAGAAAATAAATATTATCATTTAATCCTATTTCCATGCACTTTTTGTAGTATCCTGGTATATGTCTTCTACATTATCCTATTGCAATACGATGCCATATTTTTTAAATAAAACAAGCAAGAGCATTTCAAATACACTTGGTACATCTAGTTCCTAGTCTTCCACTCTGTCATGAATCCTTTGCAACCAGGCTTTTGTGCCCACAACTCCTGATGTGCTGTTTTCAAAGTCTGTCTCCATGTCTGTCTCCATTGTTCTCTCCTCAGCCTTCCTCTTGATCTTTCAACACAATTGAACACATTTTAGCGTGACCTCCTCAAAGTAGCAGCCCCTTCACTTGGTCTCCAAGACAGGATTCTCTCCTGGTTTTCCTTTTCCCTCCCTAAACTCTCCTTTTCAGACTCTTGCCTGATGCCTCCTCGTCTTGCAGAGGGTCTCAGCCCTAGTGCTCAGATCTTTCTACCTGTATACACCCCCGGGAGCCTAGGTGACCCCATCCATTTCATGATTTAAATATCAGCTGACTACTGACAGCTCCAGATAGTGTCTTCACCGACTCCAGCCTTGTTTACTCAACAGACTGCTCAGCATCCCACCTAGTCATCTGGTAGACATCTCTGACTTGGCCTAACTAAAGCTGAGTCCTTTCCCCACACGTTTCTCCTTCTGCAGCCTTAACCGTTATCAATAAATGGCAAGACCGCTCTTCCAGCTGGAGGAAGTTACGCGTGACTCCTCTTCTTTTGTCACACTCTGTATCTGGTTCCTCCACAGACCTTGTAAATGCTGCTTCAAGATACACCCAAGGAGAGCAGGCATTTAGCCTAGTGGTTCAGACACTGGTGTCCCACCTGGAAGTGCCAGGGTTCACTACCCAGCTCTGGTTTCTGCTGATGCAGACCCTGGGAGACAGGGGCGATGGCTCAAGTACCTGAGTCCCTGCCACCCAAGTGGGAGACTTGGAATGAGTTCCTGGCTCCCATATGGCCCAGCCCCATCTGTTGCAGGCATCTGGGGGGTGAACTAGCAGCTGAAAGCACTGTCTGTCAATATCCATCCTCCCTCTCTCCCTCCCTTCCCATCTCCCCCGGTGTCTCTGTCTCTCTCTCTCTCTCTCTCTGTGTCTCTGTCTCTCTGTCTCTCTGTGTCTGTCTCTCTCTCCCCCTCCCTCCCTCTCTCTCTCTTTTCTATGTCCAGAATCACACCTCACCTCACTTCTCTGCTGTCACCCTGCCCTAATTATTCCCCCTCTTCTTGGCTTGCCTTGTTATAGTAGCCTCCTAACTGGTTGCCTGCTTCTCTCCTCATCCGCTTGGAGTCAGCTCTCACTGTTTCTCTCTCTCCATTTTGTTCCTGCTCTCCCCCTAGACTTATGCATGCATTGCTGGTCTCTAGCCTCCTTTGGGTCTCAGCCAAATGCTCCTAACAGGGAAGCCGCCCATGACCTTCCACCCCTAAATTTTGACTTCTCTTCCTTTCTTCATTTTTCTTCCTAACATTTGCTAGCATTTCATATATTTGACTGTCTATTGTCTCTCTCTCCAATCTGGGCTCTAAGAGAACAGGGATTTCCCTCCATTTCCCTCCACCTCTCTCCTGGTTTTCCTTTCCCCTCCCTAAACTCTCCTTTTCAGATTCTTGCCTACTGCCTCCTCGTCTTGCAGAGCGTCTCGGCCCTAGTGCTCAGATCTTTCTACCTGTATACACCCCCGGGAGCCTAGGTGACCCCATCCATTTCATGATTTAAATATCAGCTGACTACTGACAGCTCCAGATAGTGTCTTCACCGACTCCAGCCTTGTTTACTCAACAGACTGCTCTGCTGTCCAGCTCTCTGCTATGGTCTGGGAAAGCGGTAGAAGATGTCCCAAGTCCTTGAGTCCCTGAACCTACGTGGGAGACTGGGAAGAAGCTCCTGGCTCCTGGCTTCAGATCAGTGCAGCTCTGGCCATTGTGGCCAACTGGGGAGTGAACCAGCAGATGGAAGACCTCTCTCTCTCTCTCTCTCTCTCTCTCTCTGCCTCTCCTTCTTTCTGTGTAAATCTGACTTTCAAATAAAATAAATCTTTAAAAAAAGAGAAAGAATAAAATGTGTTGTTTGCAAATTCCAGTTGAACATTCTGGATTAGAGAAATGTGAGAGAGCTCCAGGTGTGGCTCTCAGGGGAAGGCAGACTGCCCCGTTGTATGTGTATGAACGTGTGTGGGCCAGTAAGCTCTGACATTTCAAAAATCAACAGGTACCATAATGTTCAATGTACTGGACATCCAAAATCGCTCTAAGTCTCCAGGTTTTTTTTTAATTAAAGAAAATATGATAGATACATCAACAAATACATAATGAAAACTTTCCATTCATCCACAGTGTCGTCTATTTTTACCGTCCCAAATGTGAGATTGCAACCAGAATCCGGAGAAAGCATGCGGGCCTTTGGGAAAAACAGTAGTTATGGGAAAAGTCTATCGAACAGCAAGCACTGACCAGCACGGCGTTCTCGAGAGAGGGCAGGTAAGACGATGACCAGCTTTACTTGGACAGTAACGTCTAGCAGATATTGACTAGATCCTTCACATGGGATTTGCGTCTCCTGTGTTAATTATGGCGTTCATCAGACTTCCCACTGAGGCCAAGTGCAGTCAGTCCTTCCCATATTTCCAGGCACCTACCATATTCTAACCAAAATTATACTTCATCTTGCACTTCTACTTATGTAATCATAACCAAACCACTACAGTCATAAGCAAATCATTTTCACTGCTTACGCATTCTTCTTTGAGGTTAGGAAAGAGTTCACTTTGGGCTGTATCTAAGCCACAGACCTGCTTTGGTTGGCCCTCTCAATTTTTTTAAATGAGTTGCTCTTGTTTAAAATGGGGCGTTGTTAACACTAACATCTGGACTTGTGACTTTTCTTGAAAAATCAACCCTGGTGGTGCTGCATTCCCAGCCCTACCAGAAGTGTTTGCGTCTGCGTCGTACCTGAGTCTGTCTTGCAGAGAGCATCAGCTCTCCAGGTTAGCTGAGCTGCCATTTTGTTCTGGGCACCTTCACCTATTTCTGATTCCTGCCTGGCCCTTTGTAGAGGCCTTATCATGATGAGGTGTTTCCTTCTTACTGTCTGACTCTTGGACGTCAGCTGTTCTGCAGATAGGAAGTACCATGTAAACATGGCACACTCGGGCCTGTCGTAGACTGTCCCAGTCTTCACAGGTGCCACACAGTGACAAGTGCAAGACGGCAGCTTCCAGCAAATCTGTGTCTTTCTTGATTGCCAGATGGAAGTGTCTGGGGTTTGGGAATTTCACACAGTATATATCCATATGCTTTCCTTCAATGCAGCATAATTCTCTGACGCCAATGGAGCTCAGACATTTTTGTGGGAAGGCTTTTTCGTGTGTGCTGGTTCATACCAAGCCGTGCGTGAGTGCTTGTTCCTTATCCCTGTGGAAGTTGAGTCATTCAGTGTTCAAATGACTCCAAGGTTATATGCAAGCATTGCAGAAACCTCTCTCCTCCTTTAATTTGAAATACCTTACCTGGCTAAACACCGCATGGCTCAGAGCAAATGAAACTCTCCACAGTGTCTTGTGAGGGATCTGCCAGTCTCCTGAGCCAGTCTGGTTTTAGCGCCGCCATGAATCGTGGCCAGTCTTGGGTTTCAGGGGAGTGGCAGGGATGGATGAGTGACCTGCAGATTCGCGGTTGTCAGGTAGAACAGGGTGTAGATGCAGTCAGCCGGCATGAGTGAACCTGCTACCTCATCGGTTGAGAGGAAGATTCTTCAGGTGATTTCTCCCTCTTGGATACAGAGTGACCTTGCAGCACGACCTTGCTCACTTGATGACACCTGTGCTCCGGCCCTGAATTTCAACTGGTCGGACAAAAAGTAGTGTCGAGCTTTTCACCATTTACCTGTGGTTCCGAGAGTGCTTAGGACCCATGAGGGTCACAGGATGTGCTGTGTGGAAGTGTTTCGCTCGTGTTATCCTAATGAGGGCTCCTGGCTTTATCTACCCCTCAGCCAACTCAGGAGAGGCAGAGGTGGACTTCACCAGTGCCGCCGCCGCCTCCCACAGGCACCGGGCAGGCCTGGCTTTCAACCGCAGGACTGTGTCCTTTCCCTCGAGGTCTCCTTGACCTGAGCCTGGCCAGGCCATACTGCCAGGAGGTTTTGGGTCAGCTCCATCCTGCAAGTTCTCAGGACACAAGTGTCACCCACACCAAACTGCTGATCGAAAACAGATTTATCTTTTAAAGGTGCACAAAAGTAAAATCCTCGGTACGTGGGAGCCTCTACAGAATGGGATTGCCCTCGTAGTGTGTTTTCAAGCCTAGAGTTATGGGTACATCTGCACAGGGGAAGCTCTCCCTCTAGAATTATTTGATAACAATGCAATGGTTCCTGCGAGAGGTTTGTCTTTTTCACGTCAGCTTTCGGAGCTCGAATGTTATTGTGGTTTTCTCCGCAAGTCAAATACCTCAGCTTGATCTCGCCTGATGTTGAGAAAACAGCTCAATTTCTCCTTGCCAGGGAAAGCTATAGGGGAGCTGGGTTCCAACACTTCTCTGTGATTCAGCAGGAAATGAGATAATTTTTAATTTCTCACCTTTGTGGATCTTTCTGTTTAAATCAAACAGGGCTCTCCTAGAGACCAAAAACAACAGCCTCATGTATCCTATGGAAGGGCCATACTCCAACCAATAGCTGAATATCAAATTATGGACACAATAGAGCAAAACATCCGTATAGAAAACGGATCCTTGGGGAAAAATGTGTAACACTCTGGACTTGGGTTTTTGTGGTGCTGTTGAATTCGTTAACTGTCTAGAATAGATTCTTGGATGTTAAATTTCCTGCAGACGTCGCGGTTCTTTGTAACGCTCAGAAGGGTTGGATCTCAAAGAGGCGGAGACCGCGGGCTGGCATTTTAAGCAGCACTGTCTCAGGAGTCACATGGAGATCCAGGGCAGGGTGGAGAAAGCATGCTATCACTTCTGTCTTTGAGGTGACAGAGGACTGAGCAGACAGCAGCATTTCAAGTTCAAATTTTTCTCCCATGCCTCAATGCCAAATGACTTCTCTCCTTGCATACTAAGGTCACTGCAATTATTTAGCTAATAATACCGGATTTGCATAAATTGGCCTTAGTGAGAAAGCTCATGAGATGCATTTTGCTTTGCAGCAGAAAGTAATTTTAGTTTCAGAGTTTTGTAACTAAATTGAATGCAAAGAAAACCACGAGCACCTAAAGTCAGAATGGGGTAGGTGCCACTCGTGATCCAGACTTTGCGTCTCTGTGCTTCATTGTCCTCTAAAGATACTCATCAGCAGGACTGCATAGACTGCCCCCCTCATTTTATCAGCGTGGAAGGGTGCGATCCTTCAGAAGTCTGACAGAGCCCTCAACGTGGATAGACATTTTCTCCAAGGAAAAGACCAGAAGCCATGTTCAACACCCTACCCGTTGGCTTCACTTACATTTGCAGTGATACCAACCTCACCCCTATGCTGAGTTTTAATTTTGCAGTTATCCAGAGCAGAGAACTAAGCATAGGGCTGCTCCTTTTCCTGACTACAGGGATGCAAATGTCCTCTGCTTTTTCAGACATGTGTTCTATAATTTTTCTGAAGCAGTGTGTGCTCATTGTGGAACATCTCTTTTTAGTGAATCCGTTGGTCTTCAGATCCCATTAAATCCGTGGTATCTAGTGCATAGAAGAATTTTTACTTGGTTCAACTGCAAGAGGGTAACTTCATACATACTTTGGTGACCCTGTTCTTACCTTTTCCTATTTATCTTTGCTAATTCACATTATTATTTAAGAATTATATGACAATGTTAGATTATTTTTGCTTGACCTAGTCATTAAGCAATAGCTTCCTAAATGTAGTCAGATAAACAGAGTAGAATACATTCACTGCTTAGTAGATTTTCATTAAATAAGAGGTGTTTTTTGTTTTTTGTTTTTGTTTGTTTTTAGAAACCAAATTGTAGAAAGAGCTCAGTGCACTAGTGCTTCAGCCTCTGGGGACAGCACAGGAACACTCCTTAAAGCAGTGGTTTGGACAGTCTGGGGCACCAGGCCCCAGAAGAGTTTCCAAAATCCAAGTTGCTGAGGTCCTTGAATCTGCATTTTAAAGAACCCCAGGGGATATGGAGGCAGGTAGCCTTTGCACCACTGGTAATGAAGCCCTCAGTAAACATGCAGGAATTATGTATTTATGAAGGAAAATAACCAGTTCATTTGGGTGGAGACTTAATAAAGACAAACTAGGAAAACCCCTGCTCCGTCATATAAGGAAAGCAACTCCTTCCTTCCTCAATTCTTTCCTCTTTTCTCTTCCTTCCCCTCCCTCCCTTTGTTCTTCCTCCCTCTTTCCCTTTCTTGCTTTTCTTTAAAAAGGAATAGAGTTGTACTGTACAACACAGTGGCCACTAACCATATGTGCTATGCAGATTTAATTTAAATTAACTTGAATTAAAATAAAACGTGTCCTCAGAAGCACCGCCACTCTTCACGTGTTCCACAGCTAGCGACAGGGCAGGTGTAGACATCTTCAGCATCACAGAATGTCCAAGTGGGCAGCACCAAGGGAGAGCTTTGCTCCTAGCTGCCTTTTCAAAGAGGGATCGGGACAATTAAACTGTGAATTCAGTAAGTTAAAAATGTGTTATTGTTTTAGATGATAGCCACCTAGGAAGTACCCAAAGTGTAGGGGGAGGAGAAATGTTCAAGTGAGGGAAGAGGCAGGTGCCAAAGGGAGAAAGACAGAGACCACTGCCTGGAAGTGACACCGAGAGCTGCAGAGACACCACACCCATGCCCACAGGAGCAAGGGAAACCAGAAAGCAGGGGTTGGCACGTCTCAGGAGACTGTGGCATGCTCAAGTTCCCTCCACTCACAGAGCTGTGTAGGGAGGAGCAGCTGGTAGGTGAGCAGCTGCTTGCACAGGCAGACCTCCCAAAGGCTGGAATGGCATCATGGCACAGTTGGGTTAAGCCACTGCCGGCAACTCCAGCACCCTATATGAGCTCTGATTTGATTCCCCCTTCTCACTTCCAATCCGGTTCCCTACTAATGCACCTAGGAAAGCAACAGAAGATGGTCCAGGTCCTTGGGCCCCTGCCACCCATGTGGGGGACCTGGATGTAATTCCAGGCTCCTGGCTTTGTCCTGTTTGGCTCCCTGGCATTTGCGGTCATTTGGGGAGCAAATAGCAGATAAAAGATACCCTCCTCTGTTACTCTTTCAAATAAATACTATTTTTAAAAACAAACAAACAAAAAAGCCAACAGTAGTTTCTATCTCTACACCTCAGCTCTGGAAGCTGCTGCTCCTGGAGCCTGCAGAGAGCCACCTGCGGCTCCAGCCCTGGGGCACCACTGTGGACACTCCTGTTTCCCACCACTGCACCCACTCATGTTGCTTCCATCTCCCCTTCATCTGGGGGCTTCTCCTGACTCATCTCTGCGATTCTGCTGCTTATCATCACTTCTCTTTGACCCTCTATTCCGGGGCAGACTGTCACTGAGCTCTTCTTGTCTCAGACTCAGACCTTCCTAGAGAGCGGCTCTGATTATGGTAGCCGTCACCATCGAGTGGAGGGCAAAGCCGTGTGTCAGTCACCCCCATATCAGCTGCCGGCCCACCACCCACTGCTTCTGATCCAGTGACCTGAGCTGTGTCCTGGGTGGTCAGCCTGTTCTTACAGCACCCCCTCAAAGAGGGCTTCGGGCTTAGCCATCTCAGAGCCCTCTGTGAAGGGAGCAGGTAGCCCGGGTTGTAGACTGCAAAGCAGAAAGTCAGCAGTGCATCCAAGGGGAGCTCCAGCTGGTGCAGACTCACGGCATCGTGGTCGTGTAATGTTTTTGGCTAATGACTGAATTCTCTTTAAGGCCTCTTGCCTTTTTCCGAACCATAGGCACAAAAGTAGGTAATACCCACTGGTATCTTTCACCAAATGAATTCGAGAGTTAGATGAAATTCAAGTGTTCAATCTGGGTTCCCCTTCAGTGACAGAAGATTTCTCTGGTGTTTTGTTTTGTTCTTCTCTTTTTCTGTGAGAACTGTTATTTTCTGCATAATCTTACAAATCTTTTTCCTATCAAACAACTACAGTTTTGTTATCTCTGTTGCCTCATGTAGTTGACAACAGTTGTGGCAACATCAGGCAGCACAGGAAACAAACCTTTGCGTTCCTTGCAGATTTCATCTGAAACCCCCCATGGTGGTCATGACCCCCACATCACCACAAATTAAAAAAGAAACACATGTTTAGGAGAGAAGTCGTGCTTTGGACTGCAGATGCATGATGTATGGGTGAATGCCCAAGGAAGAAGAGGCTGGAACATTATCGAGTGTTCTCAACCACTCTTGCCTCAGCCTCTCTTCTGGCCTGCAGCAGGCTGTGGGAGCTTGTCTCCCCTGTCTCTCCTCACTTCTCCGCCTCTCTCTTCCTCTGACCTGTTCCCTGAACCATCGCCACCTCCAGCCCCAATAGTGAGTCAGCGGAAGCATCTGGGTGCTTCACCACCTGATCTGCTTAATTACGTGGTGGGCGGCGCTGTGATGGAGCCATGGAAATAACCTCCCATCCTGCTTCTTCCAAGGTGAATTTATGAAGAGCTTATTTAATTTTTCTATTCTGGTATAGTCTCAGATCCACAGAAAACTTACAAGAGTAGCACAAAGAATTCCTGCTGTCCTCTGCGCACTCCCCCCAAAGCTGACATTGTCCTTCATTTGTGTTATTGCACTTGGCCATGGACAAGTGTGGTGTGCACTTACTGTTCTTCCAAGCCACATGTGTCACTCACACGGTGCCCCTTTATCTTTAAATATTTCACTGTGCTTTTCTTAAAAACAAGGACTCCACAGTGATTTTTTTACACTAAAAACAATAGTAGTTTTTGCCCTCATTTATTCTTTTCCCATCTCAGGATTTTTAAAAAGCAAAAATGACTAAAAGGGGAAATTGATACAATGCACCACAAGTTGGTTCAACAGCCCATAGATCTTCCCAAACTGACTCTGTGTGTGTGTGTGTGTGTGTGTGTGTGTGTGTGAGAGAGAGAGAGAGAGAGAGAGAGAGAGAGAGAGAGAAAGAGAGATTGGCCGTTTCCAGCTTAGGTGAGCTTTCCAATATTAAGGGGCTAGAGTACATTACACAGCAGCTTGCCTCTTGTGGCTTTTTAAAACCCGAATTAATTTCCTGGGGACTATTTCGCTGTCATCATAATGTGAGTGATGCTTTCTTAAAATAGTGGGCACAGACGTAATGTGCCTGGTGCCCGAGATATCTGTTGCAGTGCTTGGCCAAACTATCAGGAAGTTAGCAAGTAGTTACAATTCGTTCAGTTGCTGTGTTTTTCTTGTTCATTTATTGTTGATTCTTGTGAGCCTGGGATACAGAGGGAATCGCATCTACCCTAAGAGCACTGCATTGTATTATTAATACCAGGACAGCAGCTGAGTCCCACTAGACAGTCTTTGTGGTCTGCTGATGCTCTAAGAAGTGTCTGAGCATAAAAGGAGGCTGTTGGAGTTGAAGTGGGCTGATGGTCTGGGATGACATTTGAATGCACGGAGGACAGTGTCTAAATGACAGTGTTGAGAAGGGAAGGCATAAAGAAGCTTGGAGCTCTTCCCATTGTCCCACAGGCTCATCACTCCCCTTGAGAGATTCCTCACGTGGGAGCCCAGTCTGGGGAGAAACAGGGAGTGGGGTCAGGGAGAACTGGACACTGGGGCCCAGGGACAAAAGCAAGGCTCTCAGGTCCTTAGACACAATGAAGTTCTAGACAGATAGGAAATGTAATGGAAACCACAACCCGCTTGTAGTTCAGTAAACAAACATTTTAGCTAAATTCTTACAAGTATCATTAACAAAATGTTTGCAATACTCTGAGATACTTCTACGCATAAAGCATATGAATAATTTAATGAATCTGTTCTAGAATTTAAGATAGCTGCTTACTCTAGCAACCTACGCCCACATACATACACACACTCAATACACCCACATAGCCAGAAAGATTTTTTTAGCAATCCTAGAGTTGTTAGATAACACTGCAGATTAGCAAAGGATTATTTTTCTACCTAAAGAAATAATGTACATGGTCTAGAACAAAAGCAAAAGAAGTAGAGAAATTGAGGGAAATCTATCTTACAAACATGGGCCATGAATGCCAAGCCTGGAATCAAACACTATACTGTTGATTTCCATACATTGGTGTAGTTTTCCCTTTAAATGGTCACCGTTCCTTTAATGTAGTTTGCATTATGTGTAGTGCCCTTGGATTATCATTTTCAATGTAATTAGTAAAATGCCCTCAATTACATATAATAATTACTATAAATAGGACTATTGGCCTAATTACTATACATGGGGAAAGATGTGTGATTGTCATGTGCAGCTAAATTGTGTACAGTATTTATTTTACATTATTACATACAATGGTGTAATGATAACACGTAATTACATTGTATCATTCCTTGGTCAACAGATCTACTCCACATTAAAATATCTGGACTTTGTGACTTATTGCCAAATTAACCACCGACTGGATCTTTCTTCTTAAAGTAATTGGATTATTCTGTGGGCTGGGGACCCAGTAAGTTTAAATATAATTGAATAAACTGATTCTGCGGGAAAAATACGGAAGGAAAACAATTATCTTACTTGCATTAATTAGGAATGCTCAGATTGTTCTATCTTGTGGATGTTAAGAATTTAAACCTCTCTAAACCCAATGCCAACCTGCATGGTACCTGTTTGTTTTTGTATGAATGTGTAAAAATCAACAGCCCTAAATGGTGGCAACATTTAAAATATGCCTGAGGGGAAAAAATGAGGTCCTTTCTTCACTGTGGCAAACATTATAATCATCCAGAGTTTACAAATGCACACTTAACGAGCTTATAGCACATAATTAATTCTGCAAAGGATGCTGTTCGGCAGAGTGGGATTATGAGACTTGCTTATTACAGTGGCAGGAGAAATAAATCTATTTTCTCTCGGTAAGGTAGGGTATTCTTGTGTTCTTTAGAAACTGGCACATCTCAGAGGTGTTGCTCTCAAAATGATCTCAGGATGGAGAGAAATCAGTAATTACAGAGCTAGGCATTCAGTTGTGTCCTAATTTTCCCATCAGTTTTTCAGTGTTTCAGCTGCCTCGGAGACTTGAAGTATTCTCATTAGGTAGCTGCAGAGGCAGCCGCTCTGCCCACTCCCTCATTCTCTCACTCGCTTTTCCTTTTTTTTTCCCCTTCCATTCCTGCCTTGGGAGTGACTGTGAAGATCATTTGCCGGAATGATTGGCAGGTTAGAGGATTCGATCAGATGAGTTCCTCTTAGTGCAGGTCAAAAAGGCTAGTTAGCAGGAGCTGTCGAAAAATGCCAGCAGCATTCGAAATGGGAAATGTCATGACTTCCAGGCAGGGGGTGCCACCTGCAACAGAAAGCCCTCAGCTCATTAGCAAGTTACAGGATGCTGGCTTAACTGGAGGGAGCAGGGAAGGAGAGATAATACCCAATAGGGAAAATGATTGTGAAGTGGAATTGATTTCATGTATAATTTGTTTATCACTAGAGGGGACAAATGCTGTCCTTCTGACAGGAGCGGAGGAGTGTGGACTATGAATGAAGCAACTTAGCATAATCTCCAGGTTGAGCTTTGGATTTAAAGAGCGCAAACTTCTTTATTCCCAACTGCAGAAGTGATCAGGTCGTGTTACATTAATTAAAGCTGACATATTCTCGAATGTTTTATCTGGGCAGTTGTGGCAATTCGACAGAAATGGCTCGAGATGGGCGACTTGAGAAAATAAGGGAGATTTTGCTTTTTTTCCCCCTCTGCTAGTATGGAAGACTAGCTCAGTTGCATACTGAATTATGGCAGGCTGGTGTTTATATTCAGTGGTTAGCTAGGCTGCACAAATCAAACCAGGGCTCCTGATTCACATGCAGTCTCAATGGTAGAGGAGACCAGAGGCCCTTTGGGAGATTTACATCTATCTAATCCATGTTAAAATACATATGTATATTTCAGAGTATGACTGTATCATACTTTGATACAATGTGAAAATTTTAACCTCTGATTTTTTCTTAAAGGGGAAACTCTCCAATTTCATCACTGCCTAGATGTCAGTTTTTGTAGAATCTAATATTGTACCATAAATTCAATAGTTTCCAATAGGCTTATTCACAGACAAAGCTAAAAAGGTGCCCTTAGCTTGTAATTTGTAAACAGAGAACACAGTGGCAAAACAAAGGCGATATTGCCTAACGTGCTCCTTCTAGCTCCATGTGTGTAGCTTTCAGGAGTGTACAGTGTATCAAATGGGCTTCAGCATAAAGCCCCTTCCTACATAAATTCCATCAGAAAGCGTATTTTCTTTTGATAAGAAACATTTATGATATCATTCGTCTTTTGCACAGAGATCTTCATCTTGTTATTTTAAGTCACAAATGCCACAGCTGCAAGTCATTCTGGCTGAACACGAAAGGATGTTTACTTACCATGTAGATTCTGGCTAAAGCATATATTTTAAAAATGTGTTGCCCTGCGTTTTTCTTTCCCCTTAAATATTGAGACATTTTATGTGGCAGTTATTAAATAGCCAGGGCTTGTTTTATCAAACAGCCTCAGACTACTGTCTACTGTGAATAGGGATCTTAAAGCCTCCCAGTCCAAACACTGGTGCAAAATTCATTCCATTCTGTATTCCGCATAAAAAGCTTAGCATTAAGCCACTGTATATAGCTGTCAAGATATACTGCATTAGTTCTGTCAAATCTAAAAATTTAAACATCAATGTGAATCCACTCATCCCCTCATTTGGGAATTTGATTGTGTGGTCCAAAAGCTGACCTTGGAGAGGGAAAGTTTTTTTTTTTTTAATAAAATCCCAATTAAATGGTTCACCAAATGGGACGACCATTTTATTCTTCCACGGTAACTCAATTTACTAATTGCTGAGAAATTTATTAGAAAAGTAAATTGTTAAACTGTTTTGAGCAAAAATATTGTCATTTTTTTTCCCCAGTGAAAGACTTGAGGGTGGTGGTGTGCAAATGGGTTTCCCAGTCTTTAGAAGGCGTGTCAGGAGAAGGCCTTCATCTCTGGAGACAGCCATAGCGGTGTGGCCTTGCACTGTGGGTAAGGAATGGTGTGCTCTGTGCAAGCCTGACCTCATCACCCACCCTCTCTCCAGTCTCTGCCCCCCGTTCAGCCTGAAGTCAGCCCCCTGTTCTCTAACTTCTTAGACCCTTCACTACTTTGTATGCTGAATTCATCTCCTCGCCAAAGACTGAAACAATCTCTGCTGCGTATCAGCCCCTTTGTTGGATGTTTACGCAAGAGTTCTTGTATTTGGATTGCACGGCTCACCGTCAGGTGTGTGAGTTCTCAGATAAGGTCCCTCTGCTCCAAAGAAAACAAACAGGATCCCGATCCTTGTCCCTGGTGGCAGCAGGTCTCAAAGTGCGCCCTGCGGATCCCCAGAGATTCTCTGGGGTCAAAAGTATTTTCTTTAAGTTTTTTTAAAATTTATTTACTTGACAGCTAGAGTTACAGACAGTGAGATAGAGAGACAGAGAGAAAGGGCTTCCTTCCATGGGTTCATTCCCCAAATGGCCGCCACAGCCGGAGCTATGCCGATCCGAAGCTAGGAGCCAGGTGCTTCTCCTGGTCTCCCATGTGGGTGCAGGGCCCAAGCACTTGGGCCATCCTCCACTGCCCTCCCGGGCCACAGCAGGGAGCTGGGCTGGAAGAAGAGCAGCTGGGACTAGAACCCTGTACCCATATGAGATGCTGGCACTGCAGGCGGAGGATTAACCTAGTGCGCCACCGCACAGGCCCCCGAAAGTATTTTCACAACAGCACTACATGTTCCTCACTTTCTCACTGTGTTAACCTCAGCACTGGTGGTGCAGAAGCAATGGGGGCTACAGCTGGGGGCCCTTAAACATGAATCAAGGCTATGGCCCCAGAGTATTCTTCACCACCATACAACTGCAAGTTTCTGAAAAAAGCCAGCTGCACGAAATAATGATCTGAATTAAACCTCTACCTTTGAGCAAAGGTCTTTTTAATATTCTGTGTGACTGAAAAGGGAGTACACAAAAGTCATTCATCACTAAGGTTATCTCAGGGGAAAAAATCTCTGCCGATCTACAAGCCAAACTAGCTACCCCACATATGTCTTCTATTCTTTTTCTTTTTAAAAAATATTTATTTGCAAGGCAGAGTAACAGAGAGAGAGGAGGAGACAGAAAAAGATTTTGTATGCACTGGTCCACTGCCCAAAAACACAACAACATCCAGGGCTGGGACAGGCCCAAGCCAGGAACCCGGAGCACCATCTGGTTCTCCCGCATAAGGCATGGACTCTAGTACTTGGGCCAGAATCCACTGTCTTAGTCCATTAGCAGAAAGCTGGATTGGAAGCAGAGTAGCTGGTACTCATACTCGCATTCTGATACAGGATGGAGGTATTCCAAACTGCAGCTCAGCTCACTGTGTCACAATGCCTAGCTCTCATGTCTTACTTGAAAGAATGACTGATGATAAGCTGTGACTATTCGGGCTGTACGTATTTGGTAGATATTTTCTCAAAAATGAACAGAACATGAGTCTGTTACCCAAGGAAAACAAATGATAGTATTTGCTGCCAGTGATAAACTTAGAGAGCTTTCAACAGAAAATTAGAATTTGGGGAAACTGAAAAAGTTACAATTGGCCACTATGAGTTTCCCAAAGACTTCTCTAATGAGAAATTGGTGATAATAAAAGCAAATGTGACTTTTTCGATATTATAGGATTTGAAGGACCAGCACAACTCATTGAATTAATGGTTTACAAATATTGTTAGAAAAACCATGCATGGATGAAACATTCACTGAAAATGTAAAATAAACCAGTAGATTTTAAAGTAACAAAGGATTCATTAGAATAGTATCCAATCCCCCAATGCAACTAACCTTTAAGAAACTACCACTGTTGAGTTTTGTTGTAATATAAAAGGTTATATGTATCCATGGCTAGCTGAAAGGGCTATTAAGATGCTTCTTTTTTTTTTTTCCAATATCTATAAGAGGCTCAAATTTTTGTCTTTTGCTTCAGCCAAATCAACATGTTAACACAGATTGAATGCATGAATACATAAGAGAATCTAGGTCCTCTGTTCAGCCAGCCATTGAAACAATTTGCATAATTTTAAAGCAATGCCACCTGTCTCACTAATTCCATTTTGAAAATGTAGTTATTTTGTTAAAACAATGTTTTGTGTTAGTAGGTAATACTTTTTTTTAAGATTTATTTATGTATTTGAGAGGCAGAGTTACAGAGAGAGGGAGAGACCGAGTAAGAGGTCTTCCATGCACTGGTTCATTCCCCAAATGGCTGCAAAGGCCTGCGCTGCGCTGATCCAAAGCCAGGAGCCAGGATCTTCTTCCAGGTCTCCCGCGTGGGTGCAGGGGCCCAAGCACTTGGGCCATCTTCTGCTGCTTTCCCAGGCCATTAGCAGGAAGCAGAATCAGAAGTGGAGCAGCCAGGACATGAACCAGCACCTATATGGAATGCCTGCCCTACAGACAGATTTGACCTACTATACCACATTGCTGGCCCCCAGTAATGAGTTTAATTAAACATTTTGAAAATAACAATTTTAATTTTGAATATAGTAAACACCAATAGCTGTAGTGCATATAAGCAAAGCTCCTTGGCAGTTCTCTATAACTTATTAGAGTCTAAGGAATTTTCAGACCACAAAGTGGCTCAGGCACTGTGGCTCCACAGGTTAGGTTGCCAGATGCAACACCTTCATCCTGTATAGTAGCACTATTTCAGGTCCTTGTTACTCTGCGCTTCCAGTCTACCTTCCTGCTACTGTGTGCAGCAGCGGATGATGAACTTAGTATTTGGATTCCCATCACCCACACAGAGCACTAGAGGATGGAAGATCTCTTCTCTCTTCTCTCTTCCTTTCTCTTCCATTCCCTTCTCCTTTCTTTTCTCTCTCTCCCTTCCAGCACTCTGCAAATAAGTAAATAAATCTCTCTCTTTTTTAAAGAAAATAAGACCAGAAAGTATAAGAACTTCCATATCAGTAGTGTTATACATTAATTCTAACAAAAATAATTATATTAATAAAATTTTCCCCTTTAAAGAAATTACTGTTTACTACAAAAATTTAGTTATATAAAATTATTCCATTTCCTTCAGTTTAATTAAATATCTCAACTTTTCTGGAGTATAATAGATAAAATTTTATATTTGAAAGGTATCATCTTAAAACTAAGGTGGAATATTACTTAATGTACCCCTTGATTATTACAGCAATTCTAAAGAGATTTTTGCGATAAATATTAATTTAGGATGTTATGACTTTTCCCTTTTTTTAAAAAAAAACTTTTTTTTATCTATTTGAAAGGCAAAGAGACACACAGAGATCTCCCGTCCTTTAGTTTAATCCTCAAATGCCCACAACAGCCAGGGGTTAGGCCAGGCCAAAGCCAGGAACCAGGCACTCAATCTAGGTCTCCCAGGTGGCTAGGAGGGATCTGAGTACTCGAGCCACCAGTCGCTGCTTCTGGGGGTTTATATTAGCAGAAAGGTAGAATCAAGAGTGGATCAAGAACTCGGGCCCAAGCACTCAGCAGGGGATCTGAGCATCCAGGCGGCATCCTCACTGCTGCAAAACACCCGCCCTGACCTCTCCTTTTGTATATCTGTTGTTTGACCTTGCAGAGAGACCCTTCGGGCCATTTCACGTACCTTGTTTCTAGGACGCAGAATGACTTTCAGCAGACCCCTGGGTAGACAAGGCATAAATGTGACTTCCTACGAGGGGAAGGGACTCCTCTCTCTTCCTGCCCAGGCGTTTATGTGGTAGCTCTTGGAACTCTAGGTGCACTTTGGAGTTCAGAATCCAAAATACTTCTCAGCATAAGCAGCAGCTAGATTATAGTTGTGATTTTTTCAACTCATGATTTTGAAATGCTTTTAGATTTATGGAAAAGCTATAAAGCCAGTACACAGAGGTATATCCATCATCTCATTCCTAATATTAGTATCCCTTACACCCCTGGTACATTTGTCACACTAAGAAACTAACCTAAATACTGTACTATTCATTAAACTACAACTTTACTTGGATTTCACCTATTTTCACTTTTTTTTAAATATTTATTTTATTTATTTGACAGGCAGAGTTACAGAGAGAGGTAGAGACAGAGAGAGGTCTTCCATCCAATGGTTCACTCCCCAATTGGCCACAACGGCTGGAGCTGTGCCAATCCGAGCCAGGAGCTAGGAGCTTCTTTTGGGTCTCCCATGGAGATGCAGGGGCCCAAGGACTTGAGTCATCTTTTACTGCTTTCTCAGGCCGTAGCAGAGAGCTTGATCAGAAGAGGAGCCGCCAGGACTAGAACCAGTGCCCATATGGGATGCCAGCGCTTCAGGCCAGGGCGTTAACCTGCTGAGCCACAGCAGGCCCCCTATTTTCACTTTTCTTCTGATGCAGGAGCCCACCCAGAGTGCACTGTATTGCATCTAGTCGTCACGACCCCTCAGCCTCCTCTGATCTGTGATTGATTCTCAATCATTTCTGGTTCTTCATGACCTTTTTGCTCTAAGAAGTACTGTTCGGGTATTTTGCAGCATTTCCTTCCTGGTGTTTTCCCTCCTGAGTAGATGGGATTCTGGGTTTGAGGGAAGAATGCCACTGAGATATAGTGCTCTTGTCACGTCACGTCAGGAAGTACATGATGGCCACATGGCTCGTCACTGGTGACATTGACATTGATCACCTGGTTAAGACACATGATGTCCTGTAAGTGAAACAGGAGAAGCAGATCTGGGACAGTTTCTCAGTCAAGTGGAAGGAAGTCAGGGTGGTTACTGATCTGAGGACAAGGCTCCCTGACACCAGGATCAGGAGAAATGTAGAGGGAGAGAGCATGGGGCCAGGAACTCAGTCCGGGTCTCCCACTTGAGTCATCACCTCTGCCTCCCATGGTCTGCATTAGCAGGAAGCTGAAAGCAGAAGCCAGATCTGGGGATTAGACCCAGATACTCATGTGGAGCACAGACATCCTAATCAGTGTCTTAACCATTGGGCCAAACACCCACACCAGCAAATATTTTTTGAGAAACCAATATATTGATGTGGCAGTCAGCAGTAACGAAGAAGACAGTACGGAGCTTCCAGAAGCTCATAATTTAGGGACAACAATAAATCATTTAACTCTCAGGATGATAAAGAATACAGTAGAAGTTTGCATAAATGTATATGACATATGCATAATAAATTAATTTTGCCAGAGTGGCTTGTGGAAATTTTTCCAGAGGAAGACATTGTGAGCAAAGGAGGAGTTGGGTGTTTCATGGGAATGAAGAGGAGGATCTCTTACCGAGAGAGCAAAGCCTTGTCAAAATTCAGCATCCTTAGGGAGTGCTCTGGCAGAGCTGAGGGGCTGAAGTATGGGGAGTTATTAAAGATGGAACTGGAAAAGTAATTTATAACCAGATTGTGGAGGGTCTTGAAAGATATTGGGAAAAGTTTAGATTTCAGTGTGATTGCACATGGGACAATGTGATGACTTCCTGGTCAGACTCAGGAGAAATTAAAACATCTTAGTGCTGGAAGATCCTTCGGGAATCATCTTAACAACCATGAAAGAAGATGTGGTATTTTTTTTTCTTTTCTTTGAACTTATGCAGTAGATCATGTCTTAAAAATAAGTCAAGAAAATACACAGGGTTTGGCGCTGTAGCATAGCAGGTAGAGCCACCGCCTGCAGTGCCGGCATCCCATATGGGCGCCGGTTCGTGTCCTGGCTCTGACTTTCAAATAAATAAATAAATAAATCTTTAAAAAAAGAAAATATACAAAATTGCATTCACATTTACATCTAATGTAATGTTAGGAATTACAGCCAGTGCCTACTATCCTCTTTGGCTGAAAACCTCATTCTCCTCCAGCCCTGCTATTTTGTGGCTCTATTTTTGGAACAATTCTTTTATCAACTTGTATACATATGTTTCTTAGAAAATTATACAGAAATTCTTTATTTTAGTTGAAATAATATTCTTACCTTGTTCACATATCTTTTTGTAAAGTACATAACCACCCCCTTGGTTTTACTTGTGTGAATGAAGATACATTAACACCATTTAAAGGAAATACAAAAGCAATTTTGTAATGAGATAACTGATTTTACAGGATAGAAATATAGGACAGTTTTCAAAACTGAAAAAATTGATGCAGGGGCCAGCTCTGTGGCGTAGTGGGTAAAGCTGCCACCTGCAGTGCCGGCATCCCATATAGGCACCAGTTGGAGTCCCAGCTGTTACACTTCTGTTCCGGCTCTGTGCTATGGCCTGGGAAAGCAGTAGAAGATGGTCCAAGCCCTTGGGCCCCTGCACCCACATGGGAGACCCAGAAGAAGCTCCTGGCTCCTGGCTCCTGACTTCAAATCAGCACAGCTCCAGCCATTGCGGCCAATTGGGGAGTGAACCAGCAGATGGAAGACCTCTCTCTCTCTGCCTCTCCTTCTCTCTCTGTGCAACTCTGACTTTCAAGTAAAATAAATAAATCTTTAAAAAAAAATGATGCAGTGTCTTCATGATTTCATGTAGACGCAGCACTCAGCTTAGTGTGCAAAAGTGTTTTTTTAATAGTCATACTGATGTCTATGAACGTTAAGTCCTTGTATAAGTCTATTTTTCATGCCCAGTTTTTCCTAAACCCAAATAAAATGTAAAATCTTTGACCATCCCAAAGTGTGTGTAGCCAGATTTTACAGCCACCTTAATGTTTTGTAGCTCAGGGACTTTGGGGTGAGTAATGACCATGATAATGGCAAAGGAAAAATACTGTGACAGCTAGCATATGACACATTAAGCATAAATTATTCAGAATAGAAAAAGACCACTTACATTTTTTAAAAAGAAATCATAAGTAAATTAACACATACCAGAACTGTTGTAATCCGAAGCCTTAAATTTTATACTTATTAAGGCAAGTGCCATAGAGAAATACATTTAACAATCTGGATAGAATATTTGGCTTGTGTATAGAAAAGGTATATATATAGGAAAAAATGAAATATAGTATGCTGCTCTATCCTTGGTTTAACACAAAAAATGACTTTACAAGTTTTCTTTTATAACTAAGAAACGTAGCTACCTTGCAGACTTATGGCCATAGTAGGCTCTCAGTATAAATCCAGGCTCCCTTTGGAGGGGTCCAGGTTCTTTGATTCTCTCTCATTTCCAGATTCTCCCCTGTAGACACATGACGAAGAGTCAGGTAGCAAACCAGCTCAACTCATTTTACAACTACAGGGCATTCTGTAAGTTAACATTTAAAGTATTTTTCTATCACCCCTAAGAAATGCTGATAAATTAGCACTAGAAATAGCAGTATCGAGATGATTAAGAGACAGCATGGAAACATAATTTAGCCAAAAGCAAAGTGAAGAGCTAAGAGAGTTGTATCAGCCTAAGAATTTAGGGCCTCAGATTCTGCACCTGCTGCTTATCTCAGTGGACTGTTTTTCAAAAGGCTGTTCTTTGGAATCTTCTTAACAAAACAGTATGTCCTTTCTATGCTAAGACTAACTTATCTACATGATTGCTTTGTGGGCTGAGAGTGTGGAGACTCTGAGAGAGCCATAACTGTTTTCCAGTCTGATCCATTTGTCTATAGCTTAGCAGCATGCGGTGAGTGAAAACCTGCAAGGTACTAATTTCTTCTTCACCTCAGATCATCCCCCAAACACCCCCTGATCAAGGGAGCCTCGCTCTGCCTGCGAGGATGTAGCAGTCCTCAGAGGTCCCGTGCCCACATTGCGGGACCTGGAACATGTGCAAGAGGTAGAAATTACGATTCTTGACCTCACTGATATCTCATCTGAAGACAGGCTGGTGAGACAGAGCCATTATCTTTTGTTTGTACCTTTTATTTGTAATGCAGAGTGAAAATAAATTTTGAGAAGAATCAGGTGTTTAGAAAGTGCATATGTATTTTATAGCGTATGGATAAGCTTACTTCAAAAAGTTTATTGAAATGAAATTAAAAGATCAGTTTATTTTTGGTGCAAA